TTGAAAATAAATAAATAAATAAATAAATAAATAAATAAATAAATAAATAAATAAATAAATAAATAAATAAATAAATAAATAAATAAATAGACAATGCTTTGAGACCATCATCTGGGAAGATGTCATGTGTTAGAAGGCTGCAAATTTGTAGGACAGAACCCATATTTGACTGATCCTATCCTCCATCTCCAGATCACTTTGGTCATCATTGGACTCCAGAATTAGAGGCAGCAACATGCTGGGGTAAAATTCTGCCTGTCTAGCACCTTGAAACCTACACCCCCAGTTATGGAAGCATATCACTTCACACAATTAATCAGGGAACATGCAGGTTATAAATTCCATCTACAGTAATGGTGGGAAGCCAACTTGACTATGTTTGTTGTTTCAAACTAATACAAGACACTGGTTTATGAAGACAGCCTTTTTCAGAATAAAATGTGTGCTTTATATATCAAACAAAGTGCTAGGTTAATGCCAGCAGAAATACAAAATGCAAATCACACATGTACAAATGCCATAATCAACAAGGCTCTCAGAAGAACTGTTCAGCTCTTTTCCCCTGGCCAAACTGAAACACTGAGTTACAAAAGAAGGAGGTAAATGCAGATTAAATGGTGTTCCTTTGTTTGAATGAAGAACTGGAGATATGCATATATTCAGATAGAGTGATGCAGAAACTAGGATATATACATACATACCAGTATATATTTATATACATTAAATATATAAATGTACTATCTCCAATGAAGGCTTGTTTAGGCTGAAAACTAGCTATTTGTTCAGTTTTCTCAGAAGCCCAATAATGGTATCATCTCCCTTTTCCTTCGTATTGTATAAGGGCCGCAAGGCTTTGTTTTTTTCTGTTCAGCTCGTAGTGGCACCTTAGATAGCTGCCCCTTTGCTACCTTAAAAATTAGGGGAGTGTATCAATTGAGAGGATTTCGTTCCAGCCATGATTGGGCATTTTAGTGAACAGCCTGATTCAGCTCAGACAATTTCCAAGACTGACCTGTTTGACTCAAGTCCTAATTTGAAATTTCATGCCTCCCACTGATTATCTTTAGAAACCAATTAACTGTTTGTTTGTTAATCAGGACTGGATAATATGTTTGGGCACAGTTGTTTGCTGGGTTGCCAAATTCCACTTAAATTAAGTGCAGATTTTTTCATGCTATTTATCTTCCCATTTTATTTTTAAGTGAGACCACCTTTTATTTCTTTAACAGAATGGGACACCACTTTCAGGTATAGCCATCCCTTCCGAAATGAAAATTTATCAATTTTCTTGAGAATACAGATAGAGGTGGCTGTACTTCAGGAATATGCAATATACAGAATGACAGGAACATAGCTCTGGGTAGACGTGGAATGAAGAATTTTTGTTGCAGGGAGAATGATTTGTTTCCCTTTAGAATGCTGATCTCTCCCTGTCCCCCCAAATTTATGAAGATGCAGTGAACAGACCCCCAGTCAAATGCCCCCCCAAAAAAACAT